GAACCACCCCCACCTCCTGTCAAACTGGAGAACGGCTCTACTAGTGGCACATCGTCCAAGCCTGTCAAAAAGCGCCGCATATCGTCTCCGCCTCCGCCAAAGTTTCCACCCACCTACATGGGGGAAATGGTCTTTGGACACGCGTGGAGCAATGTCTCGGGCAAGGGCTACATCAAAGTCAACGAGGAAGTCAAAATTATGCGAGAGCCTCGGGATGATCCAAAGCCAAGTGGAAGCAGTAAGGCGAAGAACAAGAAAACAGGAGATGGCAAGAAACAGATGTCACTCGTGGCTATGATGAAGCAACCCGCCAGGGCCTCATCGTCCAAGAAGAAGACTGACAACATCGTCCGCCTTTATAACTCGCGTGGCTTTGGTATGGTACTCGAAGTTCTGGCAGGATCACGCTCATTTATAATTTCAAGAATTTGGGCGCCTTCCCCAAGATGTGTCGTCGTGGATGGCCAAACTTCTCGATCTCGGTACGCCGATCATGTTCTCGCGAATAATTATCTGAATTCGCCCAGGGATCGTCGAATTTCGGGGTAAAATGATGGACTGTCCGGAGAAGCTTTCCACCGGCGCAACTCTCATCGTAACCGCAGACGTCTACATGCTATCGGGCGCGTTCAAGCCCTCCAACCCTGATTCTGACGACAAACCCATGGCGATGTTTTCTGAGGGGGCAGAAACGCTGGACGAGCAGACACTGCGCGAGAGAAAGGCTTCCATCCTCAAACTTTTCGATGTCCTCCGACTGCGGCCCCGGGCGGGTGCCAACTTATCTGGGCGCAAGTCTGATGAGGAGATTCATGAAGAGGCGCTTAAGCAGATGTCACAGCGCAAGTCGAAGAAAGTGACAGAGATCGTAGGCGACGGCGAGGAGATTGAGGTGGAGGATGAAGAAGAGCTGACTGAGAACGATCTCGACATGATCTACCAGAAGGCACAGAAGAGCGATCGCACCATGGGGGAGATGGAGCCTCCGGACACATTCACGTTTACGCTCCGCGGGTATCAGAAACAAGCACTCCTGTCCGTTGTATTCATGGGTGCACGCTCAGTGTTTCTAACATTGTGCTAGATGGATGCACTCGCTTGAACTCGGGAAGATGGATGCGCGTGAGGCGTCCTCCATGCACCCACTGTGGAGCCAGTAAGTATTGCCCGCTCCTACGCCGGGCACCAGTTCACATCACTGCAGATATGGGTTCCCACATCCCCATGATGGAGGAATTATCGATCTAACCGCCGACGAAACACCGTTCTACTTCAATCCGTATTCGGGTGAGTTGAGCTTGGAGTTTCCAAAGGCAGAGAGAAAGGGGAGGGGCGGGATTCTTGCGTTCGTCGCTCTTCTAACATCATTGTGCGTCTTCTAATTCCTTCCCCAGCGACGGTAAAGTTCTTCATTAGACCTCGTTGTTGGCTCTGAACATTTTAATCCTTTGATTATTATAGAGAGTAAGGCAATTCTCTTCCACATTCCTATTTTTGCAAACTTATGCGTTCTTCAGTGGGCATGGGGAAAACGATCGAGCTAGCCGCCCTCATCCACACCAACTGCGCACCTGATACCGAGCGTCCAGCGGACGATCCTGCGCCCGCGACGAAGCACCGCCAATTGAAATTGAACAATGCCTTCAAGAAGGTACCCCGTCGCAAAGCACCGAAGGCCCCGGCTGCTACTTTGATTGTTGCCCCCACGTCGCTGTTGTCTCAATGGGAAGGAGAGTTGCAGCGTTGCAGCAAACCCGGGACCCTGAAAGTGCTTCTATGGCACGGCCAGAATCGGCTTGACTTGGAGGACGTATTAGAGGAGGACGATGACGGAGAAGCGAAGATCAAGGTGGTTATCACCTCGTACGGTGTGCTGGCCTCGGAACACGCCAAGTCCGAAAAGTCGAGCTCCAAGTCCCCGGTTTTCGAGAGTGAGTGCTGCGATCAGTTTCCAAAGATATGATACTGATCAAATTCCAGTCGAATGGCTTCGCGTCGTGCTCGACGAGGCGCATTCGTGCAAGTCGCGCTCCAGCAAGACCGCCAAAGCGGTTTATGCACTTAATGCTCGGAGACGATGGGCCGCAACAGGTATTTATTCTCGGATTAAAACGCCCAGGAACTGACATTCCACTAGGAACCCCGATTGTGAATAAACTAGAAGATCTATATTCCTTATTGTTTGTGATGTCTTCGTTGTGCTCGTAGCCGTCCTCACGCAGAACTTAGGAAATTCCTCGACTTCAAGCCATGGTCTGACTTTTCATTCTTTCGCTCGTAAGCCGCATTTTTCTTCCACCAACTCCTCACACCCAAATCACAGGTTTATCACCTTGCCATTCCTTGCTCGGGATTCCAAAGCCATAGAAATTGTTCAGATCATTTTAGAATCCATCTTACTGAGACGAGAAAAAACCATGCTGGATACTAACGGTAAACGGATAGTAGAGTTGCCTCAGAAAGAAGTGCGCAGGATGTATTGACATTAAGACTGATACTAACGTGCTTGCCAGGTTGTTGTGGAGTATCTCGAATTCTCCCCCTTGGAGAGAAAGATCTACAACAGCTTGTTCAATTCTGCCAAGCGCGACTTTGAGCAATTGGATGCGAAAGGTCTAATCGGCAAAAACTACACTCACATCTTAGCGATGCTCATGCGGTGTGTGTTTTTATCTTTGAAGGAAGATCGTGCAGTTCTTAAGATCCGACAGACTGCGGCGAGCGGTGCTTCATCCAAATCTCGTGCTCTCCTCTGACGACGAACGCTCGCTCCCAGAGGACGGCGACGGGACCGTAGACGTGAACGAATTGATCAAGCGGTTCGCTCAAGGCAATCAAACAGAAGAGGGCAGCGGAAATGTGTTCGCTCAGAACGCGCTCGAGAACCTCGACATCGATGGAGCCGACTCGGAGTGTCCGCTCTGCTTGGATGTAATACAATCACCTATGCTCGTTCCCGAATGCATGCATCGATTGTGAGTCATCCCACCCCAAGTTGAATCGTAACTAAAACACGCTACAGCTGCAAGGATTGCATCATCGCGTATTTCTCCAACTCCGAGGAGGAATGCCAGTGTCCAACCTGTGCCCGCGAGCCCATCAAGGTCGGTTGCGAGCCATCCATTCCTGCTACCCTTTATAATGCGTAACATCACAGGAAAGCGACCTGATTGAAGTTTACCAGCCGCCGAAAAGCTCGCAGGACCCACAACCCAGTGTGATTCTTAGGAAAAACGACTTTCATTCGTCGACGAAACTTGATGCTCTGGTCCAGAACCTGCGTGAGTGCGACAAGGCACGGGATGATATCCGTCTTATGCTACTTTTAGGGAAGCTGCGCGAACAAGACCCTTGTTTCCGCGCCGTGGTCTTCTCTCAATTTACATCGTTCTTGGACCTTATCCAGGCCGTGTTAAAACGAGAACAGTTTGAGCAGTATCGATTCGATGGCTCGATGGATGTCAAGAAGAGAGGTATGGCCCTCGATCAATTCCGGGCTCCGACACGGAAACCCAAGGTATTGATCGTGAGCTTGAAGGCGGGTGGAGTTGGGTTGAATGTGAGTTTCTGTGGCAGAGTTTCGTTGTAAATGCTCACGGCGTGCTTTCTAGCTGACAACGGCCAACCATGTGTTCATGGTGTGTGTTCTCTAGGACGCGGTGCTCGAGGTAATACTAACCGACACAGATGGACTGCTGGTGGAATGCGGCAACGGAGAATCAAGGCAAGTCGGTTTCTGCTCCACTTGGGTTGTCTTGACGCCATCCAAAGCCATCGACCGGGTCCACCGAATTGGACAAGAAAAGACGGTGTATGTGAAACACTTTATCGTGAGTCCGTGCAAGTGTCTCGTACTCGTCCTTTTAACTCTCGGCAGGTGTCGAACACGATCGAGGGCCGAATTCTCCGCATACAGAAAAGAAAGACCGCTATCGTCAAGGAAGCGTTCCGGGGGAGCGGTGGGGCAGCTGCTCGTACGGATCCAGAGAGTATTGAAAACCTTAAGATCATGTTTGAGGAGGAGTTTGAGGAGGAATGAGGGGAAGTCTCACCACCATTCTTGCCAACGTTAAATTCCGTTCGCTCTTGCTGCCGAAAATTTCGTGTATGTATTTTGCAATTTAAAACTCTGAAACAGCCCTAGTTAGTCTCGGTTCGGCCCTCGTTATTCGTTTTACCTCCACTTTCCATTCCCGACAAAACATGCAAAAATCAAAGACTACACAGTCCATAGTTTCGGCTATTCCTGCCTTACCAGTGGTCTCACAACTTGGTGTGAACACAGTAGGGAATCATCTCAGTCGACCCAGAAAAAGATTTGTGCAAAACGAACAGGTGGATCGAGAGAAATAGCATTGTTTGTCCGCGGGTTCAACTGTTCAAGTTGATGGCGGTCAGTAGGTCCTGCCTTCTTTAGCCAATACTCCACTCAAAATATCAGCTATGTTGGTCTACTGGGGTTTTTAGGTCCCTGATTAAGGATATGTGGGTCTCAGATCCAAAAAAATTGGTGCCGGAACTACAATCGGTGGCGCCGTAGTGTTGCGCTTCTACCTATTTGGGCATATTTGGGCCGCCAGAAAGTATTGGCCCCGCTCTTGACAACTACGAGGGCTATCCTTTGGGAGTAAATCATAACTTGTAGGGCGGATCAGTGGGATCCCAAGAATGACTTAGACCGAGCGATTTGGGCCCTTCTTGGTTGAGATATTCACAGTACAGTCTCATCGTTGCTTTTCCGGTTTGCGACTGTACCGTTTGGTAGATGGCACTTTGCCATGTACTACTCTATGATACCATGTAGTTAAGTGACACAGCCTTTGCACAATGGAACATACTGACTGCGCCAAGAGCGTAGATCGATGTCCCGTTGATGGGGATGATCGCCACTCAACAATGTTGCCCACCTTTCTTGGCTTCCTGTTATTCGTTTTCTACGTTCAGTATCTCAAAATGACGGCCTCAACCTCCTGGTTCCATTGCCTTTCCCCAATCCCATGGGTTGGATGGCCGAGCGGTCTAAGGCGCCAGACTAAGGATCAGCTCCAATTCGAAGCTTATGTTGCACACTGTGTAATCTGGTCCTCCGGGGCGTGGGTTCGAATCCCACTCCAATCACTTTTTGCGCCTCATCCTCTCATTTAATTTTGCTCAGGACACCTCTTACTAGGATCAAACAAGCCTCGGGAGCTGAAAATTCACTCATTCTCCCTCATCTCGAACTCGTAACATCTCCGTAGCATCTATGTAACGTTTCTATTTTCAGGGTTCCGAAGATGAAAACGATGGGTAACAATATTGTACATATGTATTCATCAGGGAATTGACGGGCGACCAGCATTCATTGTTGTAGACTCTTACAACTCCCGACAATGTAAAAATTGAGATCATCTGTCGTGTCCTTTTCCGAACTTACTTTGAACTCGAAACAAAATACCATGTCGTTCGACAACCCAATTTGTTCAGCAGTGGATATGACAGGAAAATCCCTATACAGTCGGCAGAAGGAATTGTCAAACAAGCTGATGTAGCCATCATGTTCACTACCGAAAGATAGGGGCATCATCGGACATCAAACATCTTATGTATACGTCCGACGTCGGATGATCGTGATCGTGATCGGGCCGCCGTCAACACATACAAACAACCGCCGCCGTCCAAATCCGGACACTGTCACGCCGCTCGGCGCTCGGGTATGGGCCACGGCCGCCGGTAGTAATGCGTCACGCCTCATGCGCTTTGCGTGGATCCACTTGAGGCGGGGCACGGACTTGCTATTACCGGTCCTTCCAATGGCAACCGCTGCTAGTCCTCAGACAAAATCTTACAGGGATCCACGACATCCGCAAGGTGGGCGCGAGACAGCATAGTTGGCCGGAAAACGTACGGACTACAGGGATATGATATGTACTACATAATGCAACCAAGAGCGACGGAGAGCGTATATACAATGTGAGATTTGTCATGCGATACCCTATACAATAGTCAGTGGGAGCCTGGGTAGCGAAACGCGACATACCTCGTAGTTCCCGACGTTGAAGCTGAGGAAATATTAGCGCGGCACGGCGAAGAGCGTAGATGCTTACTGCACATGGTCACCTTCGCCGAGGGTGAGGCGGACGGGCAGCCGCGGGTCGATGCGCACTGGGGCGCTGTTGCCGACGAAAAAGTCGCCGCGGCTGAAATTGCGGGTGATCGCGGCGGTCTCTTCCTCGGTGAGGGTGCGCGGGCGCTTCGCGGGGCGGAAGGTCGACGACGACGCGCCAGTGAAGGCGCCGTTGTAGTCGTAGTACTGCTGATGGTTCAGTGTGAGGCCGCCCTGCGACGCGGCATACACGGGTGGCGGGACGAACGTCGCGCCTGGCGGGGCGGATGCCGAGTCTGGGGTAGATTTAATTTAATTGAATTAATATATGACACGGAGACATGCCTGACTGAGGCGCGACGCGATCATGTTGTGGCTCGGCCTCGGGATCAGGGTAAGCGCAAACGGAGCCGAGTCCCCGTTTGAGACAGTTCTACAGAACGATTGGTCCGAATTGATGGATATGGCGTTATCGCGACTTGCCTGGCAAGGGAGGGACTCGCTGCATCTTGTTTTTCCAGCGTGGCAGGCGACACAGGCGCGACGAACTGAAGGAGCTTTCGCTGCGATTTATTCAATCCGCAGGGAGTGATAGTGGGAGATTTTGGACGCACGCTTGCGAGTACTCCCTTCGCTCGGAGATTGGGAAGGCTGCTGCTGGATTTGATGCTGGTGCTGGGAGTGTTGAGGGTGCTGGGGGTGGGGGTGCTGGGAGTGTTGAGGGTGCGGCGCTTGCTGCTGCAGTTGGGAGTCGGTTATGATCTGCGGGTCAAGCTCCTCCGGGTGGGCCGACATTGCGGCGACGCGGGCGGCAGTTTCGGTGAGAGAAACGGAGGGACGGCCGTGGCAGATAATGGTCACAGTGTGACACACGGTGACCATCATTTAATCAATGATACCATCAAAAGGATCACCGGGACGATGCTAGCCCGGATTTGCATGTCTGCAACCCTGCACACGCCTTCTGCTATATTTCCTTGATGCAACGGCAGCAGACCGCACACCATGTCTCTCTCGCCCCCACCACCATTCCCCGACTTTGACTTCAACTTTGACCCCTCGCTCTTCCCCAATCCCCCGCCGCTACCAGCCTCAGCAGACCTCTTCTCCCCAGCGGAGACAACGGATCTTCTCGGATTCCTCGACAACTTCAACAACTACAGTGGCTGGGAGGACCAGAAGCAGCCGTACACCTCTCCCCGCGCTCCATACTCGAACCCCCATCTGAACACCGCTCCCGAGCCATCCACCTCAGGGAGGCCCAGACGGATCACCCGCTCGGCATCCACGCGCGCACCACCACAGCAGCAGCAGCAGCAGCGCAGGCGCGAATTTTCCCCGAGACGCGACAGCGAGACACCGAGCAACGCGTCCGAGACGTCCTCGCAGACCAATGACCAGTCTGTCGCGAACACCAACAACTCCGCGTCCGCCGCCGCTGCAGCCTCCGCCGCACGCGCGAAACCCCTGCTATCGACACCCCAGAAACGCCTGAACCACATCATGTCTGAACAGAAGCGTCGGAATGCGATCCGAGATGGATATGCCCAGCTGATAGCACTACTCGCACCGGCCGGATCTGTGCCAGGACTTGGGATGCCCCAGAGAGGTCGGCCAAAGGGAAGTGGCAGCAGAGGAAAAGGCCAGAGCAAGGGGAAGAGCGGCGTGCTCTTTCGGGCCGTCGAATATATTCAATGGCTTGAGGAGGGACGCGATGCCATGCTGGACGAGGTCATGCGCGTCGAGGCTGCTGCCGGCATTCGTGACGTTCGTTAAACTGGTGTACCCTGCTTGTGGATGCGATAGGGTCGGATTTGACGACACCGTGGTCTGGTGAGCTAGCTCTATTCTCCGTCTTTATTTCCAGCGCTGATTTTTACCCAGAGAACCCCAGATTATCATTATTCAGTGTAATAGATGGATGTGTACAGCAAATGAACGGTCATAATTATATTTTTACGCGCTTTGAAGCCTCTCAAAAGCACTCCATCAAACTTGGCTCGGGCAAAAATCGTCTTAGCTTTTCGCCAACGGCTGTAAAGACCAAACAAAGACTGTCCACAAACGGACTCGCTCTTCTTATCGGTTTCGCCGTTATCGAGCTATCATAGGCTATCGTCTGCTATCGTCCTTTTCGTTTGGTGATGTCGAAGATCCAAGAGTGGAGACCGACAACGTGATGATATACACGACAGTACGCAACGCGCACATGGAGTTTCTTTCGACTAAAACCGAAACAAAAGATTGCCAGTTTCCAAGCCAAATATTCCCATGTCTTTATTTTAATTTCACTGATATGGAGGAAGCATTCACCTTCCCCGCATAGGGGGTGGCGATGAGGCCGGAAAATCTCAATGTAGCTAAGATAAGATAAGATTGCATCACCACTGTTCATGGCACCGACACCACCTCCGACACCGTCCCCCGAGTGGCCGCTGCCCAAGCTTAATATCCGCGTAGAGGATCTCGCGCACCCCGGCGCCGTCCTCTTCTTCGATCACGTACATCCCGCGACCGCCCTCCGCGCTGCTGTTCTCGCCAGCTTCGAATGGCTGTATGCCACGCCAGCGTGTGCGCCGACCAAGTGAACAGTTGAATCTTATTTTATTAGTTTTAAACGAATAATAAATCCCCCCGCCAGTGTCCTCTCGATTCTCCTGGTACTGCGCCCCATGGACGGCGTCGCGTACACTTTCGGCTCGCACAGCGAGAAGGAGATCCACTTCTCGCTGGACCACATCGTAAACAGCGCCGCCCGCGCACGCGATGAGATAATGGGTGTCCTCGTACATGAGGCATGCCCATTTCAACATACGCGCTGCTGGCATTAATGTTGTAAACTCGGCAGGTCGTCCACTGCTACCAGCACAACGCCAACGGCACCACGCCCGGCGGCCTCATCGAGGGCATCGCGGGTGCGCCCCTCCTCTCCGTTCTCATCCCGTGCACACCCGCTCACAACTTGTTGCATATACGTAGACTTCGTGCGCCTGAACGCGGACCTCGCGCCCCCGCACTGGAAGCGCGTGCCGGGCCCGCACGACACGTGGGACGCGGGATACCAGACGACGGCGTACTTCCTCGCGTGGCTCGAGGAGCAGGCCGGCGACGGCACGATCCGCGCGCTGAACGCCACGCTGCTGGGTGTGGACTACGATGAGGCGGTGTTTAAGCGCCTCGCGGGGAAGCCGGTGCGACAGCTGTGGCGGGAGTATAAGGCGGAGGTTATGGGCGGGGACGGGGGCGAAGAGGATGAGAAGGAGGGAGGCAGTGATGAGGGGTTCATTTTGGTGTGAGTTCACTATGCTAGAGGTGGATCGCCAATTTATTATATTTATTTAGACGGAGCTACAATCCGGTATATATATGAGCATGGAGCGTTGAGCCCCCATCTTGCCTTGGTTTCTTGGACGCACTCTAGGTATTTTTTTCTTCGGATTTTCATCAGTATCATGTATGACTGCCTAATCAGACGGTGATTCAAGCAGGTGAGATACGGGTCTAAGGCGCTGTGCAGGAGGGCAGTAAACAACTGCCAGCACTACTACGCTTTGGTCCGTATAAGGAATTTTTATGATCTGTGTGTGGACGTAGAGCGGACCGACACGTCTCAACCCCGCCTAAGTACGGCAGTGATACAGTTTGTTGTAACTCGAGAGCCCAAAATACAAACGTCAGTCTTCCTAAGGTACAATAAGTAAAGTCCACCAATAATGTAATGCGAAACGAAAGCAGCTGATAGATACAAACATAAACCATAAACAGCCCAAAAAAAGAGGAGGGCGGGCGGCTATCCCCACTCCTCCTCCAGCTCGCGCGCAAGGAAATCGTCGTCGTCCTCCCCATCTTCCTCCTCTTCGCCGTCCTCGTCCTGCATCGCTTCGTCGGACGCCCGTGACCCCGGACTCGACACCTGCACCTCCCCGTCCCCGGCCACGCTCCCGTCGACGCTCCGCTTCTGGGCGGAGGCTACCGTCGGTTTCCCGTCCTGCAGATCATCGGCCGTGATCGCCTCCTTGAGCTTCGAATACCC